TCACAATTTTAATCATGTTATGCAAACCATTTTCCACTTAATAACGCCATCACTTATTACAAACTTCAGCCCTGTGTGATCCTCAAACACTGTCAAAGTTTGTATGTGTGTTACTGTCTAACATTAGAGAAGGAAGCACAACATAAAGAACAGTTGTGAGAAGGCACTGAGTAGCCTTTATATATCACAGGATTAATACGCTGTTTATGGGGAAATTAGGAGCATTTGTTTTGTTTTGCAAACAAAACAATCATTGTCACATAAAAATGAAATAGAATCAAGGCCTAAATTGAGGCTGTATTTTGATAAACCATGCAGCCCACCACCATGCCACGCAGCCAAAACCTCTTCCCACCCCTGGTAAAACCTTCTAGACCTGGCACAGAGACCCACTTTAAAGACAGTCTTGCAGGTCTTCTCATGGCGAGTCAGGTTGGACAGGATGGTGCAGATCTGATCAGAAAACAGGTACTCTGGATCCAGAAGTTTCTTTAACAACACTGGAAGAACTTTGACATCTGATACCAAAACCTGAGTGAGACATAACCAGGAACCTGTGACATGACTGTCATCAAAGAGGAAATCAACACAGAACCCATAACAGTTGTGAGGACTCTACAGTTACTTTAGTTCTGTTCTTTGTCATATATCAAATGTCATTATCCACAACAGCCACTGACATTAGCAGAGCTGAGTAGTTACTTATTAATAATTCATCAGGAACAGTTCATTTAGACCTAAGTCTGCTGGTCAATCAAGACTGATCACCTGGTGCAGAGTCTCATCAGCTGACAGGTTGATGAAGATGTGGTAACAGTCCTTCACTATGGCAACAGAGGGGTCAGAGGTCAGCGCAAAGAGGGCAACCAGTAAGTCTGGTTTAGAGCGGAGGAAGCGGCAGCCCTCCCTGAAAACAAACACACATGCACATAGAAATTACTGTGGGAACCTTAAGGTCCTAACTGTCAGCTGATAATACAATGAAACATAAACGTAATGAAATGTAACGTAATTAAAAGTAAAAGACAGTATAAGTACATTAAAGCATACAGTATACATAACCTTAAAACAGTACAATTACAATGTCGACAGTATAACAGGTAAAACAGAATTTAAAAAACCATCTCAATACCAATAATTATGAGAAACTATTATTTACAGCCTCTGGCCAATAGAACAAGAGTTTACCACACCTGCAGAGCAGCTTATAGGAACATACATGTCAGGCCTCACAGCTGACTAAAACTCATGTTTTAGTGCCTCTGATCATCATCTGTGATATTATAGCTCATAGTTCAATAATAAAATCCACACACACTGAAGTGCCCCTCCTGTCACCCAAAGTGTAGACCACACAGGACAGCAGCTGACAAAGCACCACAAGAGTCTGGTTCAGGCCTAGTCCAACACCTCTGTTCGAGTAACAAGCAGAAACCAGGGGACCTGGCTGCCACATTATAGGGAAAAGCTACCTAATTAATGGCATCATCCTACCTGTGACCAGACAGTCCCAGGATATACTCTGTGGCGTAAGCTTTGACATCAGGACGGGTGCCGGGGGTTAGGAATGAGAGCAGCTCTGTAGCCTCAGAATCACTCAGCATCTTCCAACTGTGTCTGATAAACAGCAATAAAATCACAGCCACATTATTATGCAGGTACAGAAACTATACTTCCTAAGACTTTGTGATAAAGTAGACAGAGATATTTCAGAGTAATACATTATATTTTAACAATTCCCTCCAAAGAGATAACAATATGTAGCGCCATCTTATGTACTAGATGCGGTTTGAGTCATGTTATTTTTGTCTGTCAAATCTCGTGAGTAGGGATTTTAAATGTTATAAGTACCTTTATCACTAAAATATTATATTATAACAAGCAGAATAGTTGCGGTTATAATAAGGTGACCCTAACTAATGAGGATCTAAACAAACCAACCGACCAATACGAGAGGCTACATCTATGGTAATCTGTTACAATTCCTTTAAATTTATTCTCTCATCTCACTTTTCTTACAATGGAGATCTGTATAAACAGCTGACGACTGTATCATAAAACAGCGATGGTATTACCTCATATAACAACCTTAACAATAACGTTAAACAAAAAATAATTTCTATTTATCCAGGCTAGATCTAGACTATTAAGATAAGGCAAGATAATCCTTGATTGTCATTGTATGATTACTTTAGCATAAATACATGTTCTGGGGTAGTTTGCTGCCACGTTGGAGAGCAACAGTGTTAGCTACTGGAGCTAAAGTGAAATTACACTGGAAGTCTTTTACCTACTTTCCATAAACTACGTCCAAGCTTCCATTAAATAAATTTTTTCTGACAGTCTGGAAAAAAACGTTAGCTAAACTCTTTTGTAAAAGTGGTTGCTTTTGTAAATGGTGACGTCCGGTATAAAACATCCTCACCTTGAACTAGCTTTAGACCGATGCCAGTTTTCATTTCGCTGTTTTAACTCCTATTTACGAACATTACACTTGATGTGTACAGTGACTAAAGAAACATGTGGACAACACAGGAGCCCATTCCGCCTGTTTTCCGGGTTAGCTTCTTCTTCTTTGATTTTAACGGAGGGATATAAACTAACGTAAAAGTTGCATGCCGCCACCTATCGAGTCTATGTTATCATTACCCTATAAGTGTTTTGTATTCTAGATATTAGATATATTTTTACATATAGCTCTTTATCCGGGTTATCGCTTATTTTATTTCTAACAGCATTCAGCAGCTGACATGGCCCTGCCTGGGTATTGGGCCCCCCAATGGTCCAATATGGTCTTTTGCCTTCAGCTAAATACTTTAACTTGATACTCGTTAGCTAAATTCCATATTCAGAAATTTAAGTTCTTCAGTCAGAAGCCACGTTTCTCAGTATCTGATGTTAACTATCATCAGCACATTCTACAAAAAAAGCTTCTAAAACTGTAAATTTATGAACATTTTTTAATATCTATATTAATTGAGTGCTTTTATACACTTAAGGACGGGGAAAAGTTCACTATTAATCACACTGGACGAGAACCTTCTCTACCTCCCAGCGGACCATGAGGAGATGTTGGACTGCCCACTTTGACAGGAAGTTGGTACTTTTAGCCAGAATTTATTCATTTTGGCAGGTTTATGGTTGATGTTAGGGATACAGTGAGGGTTAATGTTAATCCTAACCGTAACCCAACTTCCAGAAAAAGTTGACATCTGGCTGAGGTTGACGGTTCTCAAAACTTAGTCAGTCCTCCATTTTGTCTGAAGGTAGGTTCCTCTCAGTAAATGTGCACCCTTGGTATGGAGGTGACCCATAGTTGCAGTAGAAATACTTCAAAAACCAATAAAGGTCTATGGGCTGATAATGACCTACAGAGCCTCCTGGTCAGTGGAGTAGAGCCTTGAGGATTCATCATATGGGGACCATGAATACCTTAAAAAAATATCATAGCAATCTATGAAGAATCTCAGATGTTTCAGTCTGGGTCAAAGTGGTGGAATGAACAACAATGCCATCCTTTTGGTAACACTATCACAGCAAAAAAAAAAAAAAAAAAATCAGCTCTGCAAATGTTTTGAAGAAAGAAATGCATTTAAGTGTTTTAGACATCAAGGATACACAGAGTTTTAGTTAAAAAGAAAAACTTCTTTACAAGGGCACAACTAGAAATTTGTAACATACTGTCTCAAATACACAAAGTGAGTGAGATTGAATACATTTAACATTTCAAACTATTTTATTGATAATGAAAAACAAAATCCCCCCATTCACGCAAATCAGCATCTGCTCCTACTCACCCCAAATGTTGCATTGAAATGCTCATATTGTCTATAAATGTTTACGATTGTTGCCTGCACTACAGTACAGTTCAACCTTTACTGACTGACCAGGTTCAGATATCTGGTACTTTTCCTCTCACACAACCATCAATGAACCAAATGCTGCTGACCGTTTTCCTCTCGAATTTTCAAAAAGTTACCTCGCCAGCATTTGACAACTTTTTAACACTTCATACACACTGAAAACAAAACATTTCAACAGTAATATAACTCTGAAAGACACCTGAACTCAGTGCTGGTGTACTTGTCACTGTGTCTACAGTCTTCAGATGCATTTCAGAGAAGTGTCCCTACATGCACATTCAAGCTGCTGGGTAAAACACCACCCCAGGCTCTTTCCAAGGCTAATGAGGGTCAGACTGAAGAACGCCGTTGATCCCTGGTTTCTAATGCAGGAACTTTATTTTTTTTCTCAACACACTATTCGTATCACATAGATTTCAATATTACTTTAATACCAGCACAAACACACAAAAAAAAGCACTGTAATTCAGAAACATATCACGAAACACGTAGACTGGAAAGAGCGAAGAGCAAATGGAGGACTGGAGCAGCCTCAGTCTGGATTGTATACAGATAAAAATATTTAACAGCATTAAGAATTCATCAGCACATACTCAAGTGGATCCGAGTCCATGCCTGGAGCCGGATCAGTTCTAACAAGCCCCCTTCTGGAACAGGCAAGGATTGTATGAAGCATTTCGATGACCAGCTTCTCTTGCTGGCTGTGCAGGGTTGCCATGGCATCGTAGTATTGCTTTTAGGTACTGAATGAAGTATTTGCACCAGAGTCTAGATCTCAGTATGGTGACAAGAGTATTTTGTTCAAGACCAAGAAGGGTATCAGAAGGCACTGTGGAGTCTGATTGGCTTACAGAGATCAGCTGGCAGCGTCTCTGTTGGCTCAGGGCGGGGCAAGTCCATCATCTTCATCAATCATCATCATCATCTTCATCACTCTCATGCATTTTACTCGGCCTTGTCTTTCCTCTTGGATGTGAATGGGACTTTGTTGGCCACTGTCGAACCCACCGTGGTGACTCCGCCGGCCACAGCTGATACCCCACCCCTCACCAGACCCACCCCCAGATACCCCACCCTTCACCAGACCCACCCCCATCGAGGGCACTGTGGTCACAGCAGATTTGGTGATCTCCAGGCTCTTGCCTCCGACCCAGGCCACACCACCCACAGCAGCACCAACTACGCCCTTGGTGACGTTGAAAAGACCACCGGTCACCCGCCACAACATGCCAGGGGGAGGTGCCTCATGGTCCTTACCAGAATCTGAAAACACACACACATGATGCATCAACATGTACGGCTGCATGAAACTAATGATTTTCATTATTGTTTAATCCAATGAGTCCTTCCAGATCCACAGGAATCAAGCTTTTCTGTTTTCACTGTGGAAATACAGAGGTACAACAGGCTGGGAAAAAAATTAATAAATTAAAAAATGCTGTTTTCTTACTGTATACACCTAATGAAACCCAAGGTTAAGGCAGTATTCCCTGTTAAAAGCACCAATGGATTAGTCCAACTCTTAATACTTTCTGACCTCCCTACCCTGTTTGTAGTACCCAGCCTCTAGCCCAGCGGTTCCCACTGAAGACGTTAAAAGAAAAAAGAAAGAAAGGCTTAGTAATTTCTCAGAGCATCTGGTCATCATCTTTAATAAGTGTTTCTCAAATAAGAGGAAACGACATCTTTGGCCATTACTGACCTAATGGAGGACATTACAAGTGCTATGGATGAGAAGAAATACACGATAGGAATATTTATTGACCTAAAAAAGGCATTTGACACAATCAATCATGAATTATTAATGGACAAGTTAGAAAAATATGGGATCAGAGGAATGGTTCTGAATTAGATTAGTAGTTATTTGACACAGAGGCGTCAATTTGTGAAGTTGGGTGAATATCATTCAAGTAATCTGGACACTGTATGTGGAGTGCCTCAGGGTTCTGTTTTGGGACCTAAATTATTCATA